CCTGCCGGATGTCTCTTGTTAGTCAGGTGCTTGTTTTTAGGTTATTGGGCCTTCAAAAAAGACCTGCGAACATATTACCCAAAGTAACCTTGCTTTACTTTGAGTTCAGAGTCTAATTGGAAGTCAAATGAAAACCAAAGACATTTCTTTTTATGAAACAAAGGCAATTTGAAAGCTGAAAGAAAAAAATCAAAACCGCATGCACAGAAATTTGGCACCCCAAACCAACAATTTGAAATCTACAGAAGTAAGAAGAAACCACAAGTATAATTACCAATTAATCAACAGTAGTTAATGACTGAACAATTATCAGAACTGTAAAGGAAAACCCTAAAACAACTGCTACAAAAAGTCTGAGAGTGAGTGGAGTCTCAGAATACTGGGAAGAGTTTTTTTTTTCCTTTTTGTAAATTTGCAGCTCCAAGAAAAAAAATAGTCCCAAGGACGTAAAACAGTGCTGGGTCTCCTGATTCTGATTTTTCAAAAAGTTATATTTTCATTGCACAACATCTCATGGATTTCTGTATCTTTGTTCTGCGTCTATTTAATACAGTACTTCACATTTACAATGTTTTTATTTTTTCAGTATTACTGTAAATATCTTTGATGACTGACTCAGAGGCTTACTAGGGAATAGTAACAATGAAAAAATTAAAACACAATAAAAGACAAATCCAAAAATCCTGTCTGTTGATATTAAAAACAGTCAATGACTTAGAATTACACTTTAATTGAGATAAGGTGCGACATCACCTTGGTGTATAAGCTTATAATGCTCTGTATCACAGTTTGCAGCCTGATCTTTAGAAAACTGTGCACAATAGAACTGTCATTTGCCAAATGCAGAGATTAAATGTGAGAATGTAAGATAAGATACTCTTCAGCTAAAAAGATTCTATTCAAAATTGATTGAGACATAATATTTTAAACGTTATGTCTTCAAGACTTATACCTTCATCATTTATACCTTTCAGACCAGGACTGTCAGGTAATGTAATGTGCATTTAAAAAAGAACTGACAAAACACTGTGTTCTTTATCCTAGAAAAAAAGAGTCCTACAGGAAAAAAGGAGACCCAGATTCACTTTCGTTTATTTTTCGGTGTTTCAACATGCTGTACAATTTGTGCCACAGGAAATAGAGCAAACTGCACTACATGCTAATTCTTATTTTAAGTGAAGGAGAAAAAAATCACACTGTTTGTTCATGGCTCTTTACTCTACAGGGACATACAGATTGCTACAGGCAGACAATGCAGTGCCAATGAATATGTTTAAGCTTACTTAGTGAAAAGAGAAAACCACGCTATAGGATGATTCTAAATTTATTCAAAAGCTAGCTTGTGAGGCCTTTTACCATTTAATACCCTGATTGTATTGGACAGTCCGGTTTGTACTTCATTTGTAATCAGGGTGTTATCATGTGGCTGCGCAAAACCTAATAACCAACCTTTTCTACATTTGGGTCTCAAATATTTGTGTTTGCTTTCAATTTAAGATTTTAAGCCTCACTGTTAAACATTTAACCCTTTATTCAGCCTTTTATGCATGAATAAGTGATACAAAGGAAGGAAGAAAGTACTTAAGGGCACATAATAAATCTCTTTTTCATTAAAAAAACATCTTTTTGAGGGCAGAAAATGGCATTTCCTTTAATAGCTCACCGTGCAGTGAATTTTTTTGTGACATTGAATTATGTCAAAACACAAGAATAATAGATGTGTTGTACAAATGTGCAACAGTGCAATAGTTTTGTCATATTTTTATTTAAATTAAAATAAG